GGCAGGCAGGGGCTCCTCTTGTTTCATCCCCCGAGCAGGGGGCCTCCCTTGGAAGGGTTGGTTTAGCCCGAGAGGACGTCTTGGCCGTCATGATGTTGCTGTATTGGCTCAGTCCTGCCAGGCAGGTCAGAGGGATTGGAAGGTGTTACGGCAGGATGTGTGGCTTGCTCGTCTGAATAAAACCGATGTGTGGTTATGTTTCGTTTATAAACGTTTACTGGGCGAGAAATTGAGAGTTTTCTCTTTCATAGAATCATAGAATCCTAGGGGTTAGAAGGGACCTCAAAAGCTCACCCAGTCCAACCCCCCTGCCAGAGCAGGGTCACCCAGAGCACATCACACAGGATCCAGGGGGGTTTGAATGTCTCCAGTGAAGGAGACTCCACAGCCTCTCTGGGCAGCCTGTTCCAGGGCTCTGTCACTCTCACAGTAAAAAAAAAATATTCTGATATTCACCTTGAACCTCCTCTTTGCAAACCTTGCAGGTGACACCTCGGAGATGTCCAGCAAGTTGAAGAACCGAACTGCAGAAAATGGAGAGCATCCCAGGAGCAACATGGCAAATGGAACAGACAGCCTGGCTGCCCCCACCCTCAGCACCTACACCCCAGAGGAGATGGTACAACAGATGAAAGAACTGATCACTGAGAACAATGAGTTAAAAGGTGAATATGCATGTGAACTGGACTCGGAATGCAAAAGTACTGAGTCTGCTCTCTGTGGCTTTTTGGATGCGTTCTGTGCTCATTTGCCCTTGCTAGATAACTTTTCATAGCTGGGTAGCATTCATGATATAAGCAAATCTGGGAGTGGGAAAGCCAGTTTTATAGGACACATCAAATTGAATCAGTCTGCAAGATTAGGGGGAGAACAGCCCAATTTATGGGTGAAACAATTGCTTCAGAATTACACATATAGGCAGTATTTTAGGAGGTGGGATAAAACATTTCTATGATATGTTCTTTACTGATTAACATCTAAAAGCTAGTTTGGTTTGTATTTTGGGATTGTTGGGCAACTGCATTACAATCATTACAATCCATTACAATGTTTTGCCATAGCTGCCCCAGGAGGGATGGGAGCTGCATAATGCCCAGAACACTTTGTGTTAGGATGGGCTCTGAAAGGAGCTGCACCCCCTGGGGCAGAGAGGGGAATTGGAGCAGGCTATCCTACACTATGAATGTTTAGATGTGGCAGCATCTTCTGTGCTTCAGGAGGAAGTTGTGGCCATGGCAGGCTCTATCTGAGACAAATCAATCGGTTTCCCTGAAAATGCCTAATGAGTTAAGTCTTTCAGGTGAGAGAGCTTTGCTTCAGCATCTCAGGAGTTTAGGTGTCAGGTATGTTTTTGTTGGGTTTTTTTAATGTATAGAATAAAACCCAAGGGATTTGTGAATTTTCTGTGTAGAAGACAGAGGTACTTGCCACTGTTTATATGGCAGCAGAGCATCTAGTCACTTATCTTTGTGTGCTGTGTTTAAATTCCACCCAAATCATTTCTGGACCTGGTCCAAGTTCTCTGTCTTGGAGTCTCCTGGGTATCTGGCAGGAAAGCTGTTTCTAGGTGTGCATCTGGTATTTTGCTAAAAGGTCCCATATCATATAAGATAACGTTTTGGGACCGTATTTACAGCTGCTGGAACTCATACCTTTCAGAATCACCCTCCAGAGCTACATTTATTTACACAACCTGAAGGATTTGTTGGCAGTTTATAATATGACATCAGGACATAACAGAAATTACTGGAAAACACAACATGGAAGCGATTCTTGAGAAACTGGCTGTGAGTTCGTTACTGTAAAAAAACCAAAACAAGTCTGAAATACTTTCACTGACTTTTACTACAAACCTTGTAAGCATTTTGCTATTGTAAGACTGACTTTGTTATATACTGACTTTGTTACACGTGCATGGCTGCCCAGCCTGGGAGAACTGGGTTGGGTGTATTTTTTTCAGTGCTGTCAATCAAAATCTGAAGCACATGTTCAAGTAGAGCATTGCTGAGCATATCTGAGACTTTGATAACATCAGTTTTCATGCAGTGATTTATTGGTCTGAAATGTCTGTTTTTCCTACCAAGCCTCAGGAGTTGCAGAATCTCAGCTCAGTAGTTTCACTTGCACTGATCGTGTAAATAACACATGCAGCAAGACACCAACTACCTCTTCTGAACAAGACTTCTTGCTTGTACTTTTTGGTTAAGGAATAAGTCAAGAATTGAGAGTGTGGGCATGTGATTTCAGTAGTGGATTTAATGTTATTTATTAAAATGCTAAGGAACTGCAATAAGTTTGGGTTTGGTTTGGTATTTAAGGTACTTGAGGAGGAGGTTTGCACTGCATACCCTAACCCACTGAAGAAGGCTGAACTCAGTGTAGGGGAAATGTGCTGATTTGTTGGCAGAGGATTAATGTGAACCCATGTCTTGTCTCTGGCTGTCGTTTAGAAGCCATGAAGGTGCATAACCAAGCTATGAAGGACCGATACGAGGAACTTTCCATCTGGCGAGAGAAGCAGAAAGAAGAACGAGAATTTTATGAATTGAAGTTCAAGGAAGCTAAGCAGTGCTTGCTAGCCAAGTGCATTGAAAATGAACAACTACAGCAACAACTTCAGAGCTTAAAGGGAAGAGAAGGAGCTGAAATGGTAAATAAGGAATTGATTGGATTGATATTATTTTAAATTGAAAGTCTGGGGCATTCATGTGCCTTCAGCACATGGGGAGGTTTGAAGATTTGTTGTTATGCTCTGACTAGAAGTCTTGCCTTATTTTATAAAATGAGTCTTCTCAGAGTATAGTAATTGTGCCACATGTGAGATGTTTTACTTCTTAATTAACATTTAATTAACAATAACAATTAACGTTATTGAATAAATAAGAAAATAACATTTGTAGTGAACTTTCATTTTTTATTTTGCTTAGTGTTGGTTATCTCTTGACTTTGTCCCTCCCTTTGCTTGTTAGATTATCTCTCTTGATTTTTTATTTGCTTTTGTGTGTGTGTGTTTCCAGGGAGAAGATGACATGTAAGAAAAACAAAACAAATATCTATTTTTATGGTATCATTCTCCTCTCATAAAAACTCTCTTACTGAGGTCAGATTAGATCTGTACTTCTTCTGCCCTATTTTAGTCTGACTGAGCTTCCTCCCTCCATTTAACCTTAGGCTCTGTAACACATCATTTTAATTAGTTAAATTAATTAAACAGGTGATTGCTTAGTGGCCAGACAACATCAATTTGCAGGTAACACCAAAAACATCTGTGAAAAAAGACTGTTAAAACAAAACCTACTGTGTGTCCCCCATGGTTATGTGAAGACATGTTTAACAAGAAGTTTCATGCTAGAGCCGACCTGATGAATCCTTGTATCTGATACCTCCAGGACCCATATGGATTTTCTGTTGCCTGATGAAGGAGGAGTGTATTAACTTTTCTTCTCAACAGAGACACTAGCACACTCCTTTCCTTTCCTGACCACCTATTTTATAGAGCTCTGTAAAAACACACAAGTGTGTAAATAAAAATTGGCCAATGAGTTCAGAAGTTAAAAGGGGGAAGCAAGTCATCTATAAACAATGTGATTGTGTAAGTGTTATTCAAACAGCCTTTACAGGCTAAAATTTGTTTCAGAATTGTCAAGGAAACTCAGAATTTCGTAAATCTGGAATAGGTTTTATGGGGAGGTAAAGGATTTATTCTGCCTCTACCTGTTTCAGAACTTCTTGTACTTTAAATACTGAAAGTATTTTGCTGACTGAGTAATCCAACCTGCTTAAGTAATTCAAAACCCAGATAAATAAAAATAGATTGCTTCTAATTACCTCATATCAAGAGTACTTATAGTACCCATAGAGTAAGCCCTGTTTTTTCTGATTCTTTGCAGTTTTAGTAACTGTTGATAACTGTAATTTAGACAGCAGCATTTTCATTTCCAGTCATGACTTTCAGACTCACTGCCATTTAAGCCAAAATCACTTTCACTTAGTTCTACTTTAATTGTTTTTTCTTCTTTTTTGTTTAAAAAAAGCCTGACAAAAATCCTCTAACAGAAAGACTGACTTAAAATTAGTCTAATTTCTCTCACCTCTGTGTTTTACTATTAACTGAGGTCCATTGCTCCCATTAAGTGACATCTCTATTTCACTCAAGGCAAATCACAAATCTATTGTGTTGCCTCCCTCAGTGATAAAGCAGCATTCATAGGAGGGTTTCTCTTGGAATTGTACCTCAGTTAGTCCAGGTTGATGTAAAACACTCTCCTCTTTACTGGAGCTGACTATTTGCATCCTCTTACAGCCTAAGCACAGAGACAGCAGCAGGTCAGGTGGGTAGGGTGGTTCTGCAGGATGAGAAACACTTTCAGTATAGCAAGAGTTTGCAGATTTGGCATGAATGATAGATGAGAATGTAATTCAGACTCCAGGAATTGTCCAGATTTTACATTGATGGTATGTGGTGTAATAAAGACATTAATATGAGGTGGAAGGCTTGGATTGCAAAATGAGAAAGAAACAAACTCACAGAGAAATTTCATAATGGGGAAAGGCAGCTAAAGGACAGGAAGATAGGAGGCTTTCTGGTTATGTAGGGGCTTAACAGAGGGTTTTGAGGATCCTGGGGAAAATGAAGAAGCAGAATGGTGAAGGAGACAGTCCTGACTGGAAGGAGAGATTAGGTTTGGGGAGAATCTCTTGAGGGACAGAGGCTTTGTGGAAGGGAAGGAATGCAGGGAGAAATGTATACATGGAGCTGGGGTACGGTGAAGTTGTGTGGTGAGGAAAGGCTGAAGGTGAGGTGTGTGGAAAAGCTCTCTGCCCAGTGGTCCTTTCTCTGCAGAATCTTAGGTAGATTTGGGAAAAGAGGACTAAGGATATGGTTGAAAAAATACATATAGTGAAAGGCATAAATTAGGGCAAAGATTTACATCCTAATTATCTGTGCATTCAGAGAACAAGGCCCATGTTTTTTCAGAAGCAGGATGATCATCCTTTGATTACTATGCCTTCAGTGGTTAGACTTCTTGCTGTCTAGTGGCCCAAAGCATAGTTTAGGGATCTGTACACTGGACTTTTCCAGGCAAAGCAAGGTTGCAGGACCCCATTGTGACGTTTAGGCTCTATGCTCCTTGGTTGGTGTTTCCTTTTGGTTGAATAATGCAGGGTTTGTTTATCCCAGGAGGGCTGTGGGGCTCTGGAGAAGGAAGCAAAGCAGCTGAAATGCCAGGTGCAGCGGCTCCAGGCTGAGAAGGCAGATCTGCTAGCCATCATTTCAGAGCTGCAGGTCAAGCTCAACATCTCATCAGCAGAGGATTCCTTTGTGGAGATTGGGATGAACGTGAGTGGAATAAAAAGAATACACTGACCTATCGCCAGAAACTTTGGTTCCAGTTTTTTTTTTGCAGACTGAATTTTCTCCTTGTACAGGCTAAAGGATGAGGAAGTCAGGACTTGAATGTAATTATGTTGACAGTGTTTACTTGATGACGTTCTACAGTGAGATATTTAGCACCCTGTCTTCCTTTAGTAGAAAGAGTGAATCTATACCCCTGTTAATTAAAAGTCTTATGTGCTTCTTAGTGAGGAAACAGCAAAGTGACAGCAACAGCAGTAACACAAGATACAGACACTGTGCATCTGGGAGAAGAGTTAGACTACCTGACATGGAGCACTTGTGTGGTACCAGATGTAATGGTAAAGGACTTGGGATTTTTTTTTGTCCTTCCACCTTTGTGCTCAAAATAAATTAATTTCATAGGTAGCCTTCATTGAATTAAAAATACTCTCTGGAAAACCAACATGGTCGAACAGGTGACTTCTGACTAATTAAAAATTTGAGTCTTACTTTAGTTGCAATTTCTGGCAACACCTTTGCATAGAGGGGGGCATTTTGTTTTGAGAAAGGGACTCACTTTCTCCTGACAGATACAAAGTTGCAGGCAAACAAAACTAAGTACAAAGCTGTAGGGTGTTCTCTAGAGGCACAAAAATCTACGTTTTCTACTGTTCTTCCTATCTGAAAAATACAAAATGTGAAAATTTGGGTCTCCACTATTGCCCAAATAGCAGTTCCTCTCTGGAAAGTACAAGTTCAACAAGAAATTAAGATAATTTAATTAAAACTTGTTTTGAGTTGTTGAAGGAAACTTCGAACTTCAACAAACCTTCAAAGATATGTCCTTTTTGTGCTACAAAGATTTTTCTTTGGCCTGCAAAGATTAAGGAGTGAGTTTTGTAGTGGGAAAGAAGAGTGATTCTTTTGGGAGGCAAGAAAGTGTTTTTTAGGCTTACATTTAAAGTCAACTGCAGTGATGTTGGCTGTTGCTGCCTGGTGCCTAATCATCTTCATAGGGCAGAGATGCCCTTGAAGTTGCTGATGAAAAGAGAAGGTCAAATCTCATTGTTGTCCTCTTCTCTGATCAGTCTGGAAGAGATACAGGAAAGGCATGTGAAGTATTTTAAGTTAAGAATTTCTAAACATGAAACTGATCTGTAGGAGTTTTTTGTTTTATTTATTTATATGGCTAGCATAATTTTGCCTGTTTTTCTTCCTTCCTTAAGTAAATAAAACTGTGTCCTGTGTAGTTCAAATACCAAGCTGGTACTGTTTTTTCTTTCCTAGGAAGAAATAACTAGAACTGCAAAGGAACATCAAGAGAATAGTGATGAAATGACCAGTAACATGTCTATGTACATGTATGTATGTTCTTGTGTGATGGGTGTGATTCAGACTTCTCAAACATACTTTGTTTCCAGTGTGAAGGAACTTTTTTCTGTGAGGCATACACTAGAAAATTGTGGTTTTCTATGGCCTTGCATCTCTCCATTGCAGTAGCTCTGCCTTCCAGCCGTGTCAGAAAGACCCTCAGCTCTGGCATTTTTCCTTCCAGTTTTCACGGGCTGACAAGAGGGAGTGCATATTCTGGCCACTTGGACAGGCATCTACATACATGCTGACTTGCCAGCTTTTAAGGAAGGTCAAACAAAAAAATAAAGAGGGCCTGCAGGGACTCCTTCCCTTCTACTTATTTGAGACCATCTAATAGAGTATCTGTCCTCTACCCAATTATAATGATTTGGTAAGAATCAGAGGTCTTGTAGCCTTTCAGATCTGAACCCTCTCTGATCTGTTTGTGCATGGCTAGTATAAAGTGTATCACAGTGGGGTAGACAGACAGTGCAAGGACATAGTCCTTATTTTTCAGGTTACTAAGCTTAATATACCAACATTCTGTTTAGGTTGCTTCTCAAAATTTGATTTTTACATCAGCTCCAGGGCTCAAGGGACTTCCTTGCCACTAGCTGAACCTTTAGTCCTCGTGGACATAGACAGCTGATACTATTAAGCTTCCCATTTTCTATACAGTTTAGCAGCTAGATGCATGTGGCCGAACTCTTTTATTTACTTTGTGGCCTTTGCTTTTGGAGAGAAAAGCTGTAGAAAATGCTAAGGCCATAGCAGACCAGCAAGCTGTGCTCCGTGGACAGGTTTTCCCTTAAACCCCTGTCATTCCCTACATAAATGCAAGGGAGAACAGTGTTTTAGTGTAATGACATAGAAAATTTGTCCCTCAGCATGCAGTTAAGAAGTTGAAGGGAAAGTACAGTTATGGTTAGGGATGAAACAGAGACATTATGACCACAGTCTGATCTGCAAGTATTCAGCTTGTCATTAGATGACATTCTCTGTGGGAGTTGCTTACCTTTTGATGAGTATCTGGGCTGTATCTACAAGAACAGGGTATATGCACCTCTTAAAATATTCCCTGTGTCACCATGTGTCTCTGTGCAGCATTGAAACTTTAGACTGGTGCTCTCAACAGGTCCAGAGAAATGTTATCCACTCTGGACAGGTTTATTTCTGTAAGAGTAGAACAGTACACTAGAAGTCCCCTGATAAAAGTTATTTGCTTAAGATGTCTTGGCTGAACGCTGTCTTTGGGCTATTGAATTTTGCTCACAAAAGACTTGTAGCTGTCAAAAGCACATAGAGACTCTTATTTTCTGTTCTGAACTACAAAAGCAAAGTTTGAAACGACGTTTTACAGCTGAGCTTCTGGAATGTTCAGTGTATAAAACCCACCTATATAGCTAGGGGGTTTTGTCTCTCTGTCTGAGTGGACATAAAAATGAAGGGAATGGAATACAGGATTTTATACCAGGAAATTAACTTACCTTATTTTTCAGATTATTTTTTTTTTGTTCACTTCTGCAGTACCATGAGATTTTGAAAAGAGATACAGAATATGAGGGAGCTGAAATATTGAAGGGATTTTTTTCTGAAAAAAAACCACAATTTCTGGTGGCTATATATATATATATATATAGTGCCTTGCTTTCCTGGAAAGTAGTGAGACAGAGATAAAGAATATTGCATGTTTCATTGGAAAAAAAATATGTTATTTTGGGAACAGACAGCAGCACTTTGCAGAAGGGGCTGCAAAGTAGGTTAGAATAAATGCACTGGGTTTTGCATTGTCTTGACTGTTTTTGTTTTCCTTGCTTAAGCACTACATTGTTCTCCCAGCTTTAAGGGGACTGAGCACTGTGCAAAGCAAGGACTGCATTTGAACAGACAAGGACTGTGCCTAATGGCCTGTGGGTAGATCTTAGTTCTTAGGAATAAGCCCTTTGCTCAGAAAGTTCTTTTTCAGCACTGTGTGAAATGGTGGCCTCTCAGTCTGGGTCCCAGAACTAGTGGTTAGAGAATACTCCAGTAAAATCATAGCTGTTTTAATTTACTTCTGGTTTGGTTTGAAGGAGAAACAAACCTGCAGATGAATCGAAGAATTTGGAGTCTGAGGAGCTAACTGTGAGTCAGCTGCTCTGCAGCCTTAGAAATGAAACTCAGAAGAGGGAAAAACTTGAGAAGGAGCTGCAGGATACCAAAGAGAGGTATGAAGTAGGTGTACTGTAGTATTTGGAGCTGTTTTATTTCAGGGTTGCTGCAGCTACAAGTCTGTGACTGATCAGAGACAAGCTGAAATATCAGTCTGGCCTGGATAATTAATTTCCTGAGTTCTTGGTAGTAATAATGTTTTTGTGTGGTCATCCTCACAGGGATAAACCACAGGTTCTCTTCCATGATCAACAGAGTTTCCATTCTTATTTTATTCTTATTTTTTATTCTTATTTCCTGTAGCACTACAGATCAAGGCAAAGTTCCCATTTCCTCTTGGGTCCAAACTTTCCCCAGCTTATGTCAGAATGATATGATGACTACTTGAGGACATTCACTCCACTCACTCCTCCGTAGTTCTTTGTATGAATCATCTGTGTATGTGGCCTTAAGCAAATCACTATGTATAAAACAGGGATTACACTCCTCTTCGTGATACTGGCAGGCTACATTTAGCAATGTGTGAGCTTGGAAAAGCTCCTTAGAAACGTCTAAAATAAGTCTTAATTCCAAACTTGCCTAAGAGAGTTTTTCCAGGGAGACTTGCATAAGTGTCCATCTGAGCTCAGTTACGTTGCTGTAAAGCAGCATGACTCTTCAGGCAGGGAAAATTGCCTAAGCAGTAGCTGTTATAAATCCCCACTTCACAGAGATAGAGTAAGACTTCCTGGACATTACCTACTGAGAAAGGTTGGTGACACAGTAATTGCCTCTCCGTGGTCTTCCTAGAAGAGGTAATGAGGCACATCCAAATGATTCTTAGAAATTTCAGCCTCTGAAATTATCAAAGGAAAACAGAGGTAATATTAATTCCTGGATTCTGTGAACAGACTGACCCATTTCCAAAGGGTTAGCAGTTTTGGACTTTATCAGAGAATGAGCATTGTTGATTGAATGTCACTGTTCTTCACCACACCTGCAGACCTAAACATCCATATTAATTAAATATACGTGCTGGGTGTCCTCTGCTCTTCAGGAGCTTCCATGACTGGGCAAGTTTTACTACATGTCAGTGCTTTCAATTCTTCCTCTTATTTGTGGCTATGATGTTAGAAAAACAGTGCATCATTTGCATTAAATCCTTTAATAGCCACCATTTCATTTTAAATGTAGGCCAAATCCACTGTTGTTGGATATTTCTGTTTTCCAGACTGTCAAAGCTAGAGAAGGAGACCACCAGCTGCCTGGAGGGTGGGACACAAACTGAACAGCAAGAGGAGGAAACTTCAGAGGCTGTAAGTACCCGTCCTCCTGAGCTGAGATTTAACAACATAAAACTTACTGAGGCAAACAACCTCAGGGCCTAGATTTCCACTTGCACTCAGAGAGCAATTACCCTGCACAGGGTACAGCAGTGAATTTTGAACTTTCCAATCAATATCTTGGAGGTGGTTCCAGATTGCATCAGCCAGCAAGAAGAGGTGAGATTAGTGGCCAAGAATTAAGGAAACATGACATAACTTCAAGTATACCTCATTGCCCTGGCCATGCCCACTAAACAGATAGAGTTGCAGTCATTTTTAGCTCCAGAAAGTCTTCCAGACTGGATGAATATCCTCACTGATGCCTAGGTCATCTTTTGGATCAGAGTCCAATTACAATATACTGTAAAACAGGCTTTAAATGTGGAGCTCATGTGGTACTTGGTTTGGTGCTTTTTTCATGTGTTTGGTGAGATGTATTAAAATTATCTTGGATTAAGACATCGTTTCAGGCAAAGTCAGTCCTGTTGTTTTCAGTTAAGGGTTGGAATGGATGTTGGGGTTGGGATTACAGCTCCTGATTCAGACACCTACATTAATGTGCCTGTTGTTTTAGGCATCTGTGTGTGAGGTAAGTGTGTAAGCTCCTGCAGTAGTGGAGATCCATCCAGGTTCAGCGCAGGCAGTGTGGGTTATCTGAGGTGCTCCACAGCAAATATGCTGTGGGACCTGCTGGAGACATGTGCCCTTCTGAAGGCCAGGACAAGTATTTTAGTGCAGGTCTGGCTTAGTTAAAACAAGAACAGTTTGTGGTCAGGCCAAGAGATGTTCTTTCTAAGGAAAGCAGATGATGCCTCAGTTAATTCTTTCCATTATTTTTTCTCAACTTTGCCTGAGTTATAGCTTGAGCCAGATGCTCCTCATCTAAGTGCTGATACTGAGGTCAGCATAATTACATGCTTGTGATGGCAATCGTTTCCATTTGTATGCTGCTTGGTTTCATCAGAGGACTCTTGTCAGCAGAGCTCTTGTTATCTCCCTCTGTTGTAAAATGTACATATTTAATGGTGCAGTGTGGATCATTTGAGGGCACTGCATTTGAAGACATCCTGAGAGAATGGCAAGTTTTTCAAACCTGCTTCGGCTCCATTTGGAGAGAGGAGTGGCTGGGAGGAAAAAAAGGTCAGGTCTCCCAAGACAAGTTATCTTAAAGCACCACTGCAGTTACTGCTCTGGATTCCCTAGCAGGCTGCTTGCAAGCTTCCCAGAAGCAGAGATCTAGGAGGCTGGGATTTAGGTGGTTTAGGTTTTAGGGTCTCCTTTTCTGGCCAGGCTAAGAAATGGGTTTTAGGGAGAAACAGTCTGTACTCTGCACTGAGATTTTTTAAATCAAGTTAGCCTTTTCTTTCAGTGAGGCTGGCAGACCTGATTTCCCGAAGCACAGATCGATTGTGTTCCAATTAAGTAAAATATATTGAATTATGATGGCTTTCACCAGAGCACAAGAATTCACACTCCAGCTTTATTAGAAGTCAGACATACATACTTTCATTTGTTGATACATTTTCTGTTAAGGCAGTTTCTAGTGATATCTGTTTTTCTGCAAATTGAAATGCCATCAAGTACAAAAATCAATGCTTTCATCTGTGAGTGTGATTGAATTAGCCGGATTCCTGCATAAAATAATTTTGTGGCTTGTTTTGCAACTATGATGGTAGAATAGATAGGAAACATGTATGATATAACTGGTGAATGATACTAGCTTGGGCAGCTTGCAGAGGCCTGTCCCCAGCAGTATCAGTCGAGAGACAGTTGTGTTCTGTCTGCCCTTCAGTCACACTGGCTGAGTTCCACACTTCTGCTCTGAGTTGAAAGCTGGAAGTGTTCACAGGTTATGATGGATTAACAACTTCTATTGCTTCAGTTGCCTGGGGAAGTGATAGACTTACACTGTTGGAAAAATGGAGCTTTTCTTCAAGGAATTAGGAAAGCAGCCTGCTTTTGATAACACCTGGTGTCTTTTTAGCCACAACCACCCTGCTCATTCTCAAGCTGGACTGGAGACTTTCAGTGCATTTGATAAGACATTATCAGTGAACATTATAGTGGTAGGGACAATTAAGTCAATGCTAGCATGATCATGAGATTCACATGTTTCTTTAGGAAAGCTCCAGAGACTACAAACCAGCAGGAGTCAAAGGTTTCATGTCTTCTAGAGTGTGGGAATATATTTTAAGAATTGGAACTCTGAGGTGTCCTTTGTGTCTTGGGTTGGAGGAGAGCCCAGCTGCTATTTCTTTCCTCTTCTTTTCTCTTTGCCTGTCTTAAGGGTCCTTCAGTGATCTTCCTGTGGACTGAAGGCTGAGTAAAAGGGCAAGTAACTCACAACAAAAGTCATTAGAGTTCTACTAAAAATCATCTTCTTAGTTTGCAAAGTTGATTAATGAATGCATGGTAACGGAATTACAATTTAGGCTTGTATTTTCTCCTTCAAAAAGTCAAGAACTGAAGTCTTCCAGATCTGTGGTACTCAGGCTTGTGGTGTAGGAGAGGTTGATGTGTGTAGGGAGAGTGCCAGTTGGCTGGAGGGGTTTCATGTGTAATCAAAATAAATAACAATGCATACAAACTTCTGTGTTCTATGCTTTCTGCCCAAAACAAGAATAAGAAAACTAGAATGGAGGGGGGGGCGTAATGCCAGTACAGGATGTAACTGGGAAGAGAAAGTCTAAGGTTTTAGTCTGCTTCCAAACTGCTGCCTCAGTTCTCCATCTGCTGTCAGACCTCTTTCTAAAGAGCTCACTGATGGCAGCAGACTGGAAGCCTACCTAGGGGTCAAACACTTGTGTTTCTTTGACAGACTGTAACTATTGCTTAGGGGAGTGGCAGTAATCACTTAAGTCTGCCTGCTCTGCTCATGTGTGTTTTAAATCGGGAACTCTGAGAAAGAAAATGTAGATGTTTCCCGTCTGTAGGAGGTGTATTCTGCCAACATTGGAAAGTCAGTAATAGTGTTGTCTTTGAGTCACTCAGAATTTATTAAAATGTTAAGTCAAAATGGGGTTCTGCCACATTTAGGAATTGTGAAGCCATGTGTTCAGGGCCTTACTATTGATTACACAGGGCAATGATGCATACTGACATGCTGTTTTCTCTAGAAAAAGAATACTTCCTGGTTAGATCTCCTAGTTAGCCTGCAGCTTTCCCATCTTGACTTGTCCATATGTAATTTTTCTTATTTTTTCTCTAAAAGGTTGGCAGTGAAGTAGAAGCCCTGAATTTGCAAGTTTGTGCTCTGTTTAAAGAGCTTCAGGAAGCTCATGAGAAGTTAAAAGAAGCAGAATTGATTCAGAAGAAGCTTCAAGAAAAGTAAGGTTCAGAAGAACAAAAGTTCTGCCATGACACCCAGTATATATTTGTATGACAGCTCTCACTGTGGAAGCTCACCAGCTCTACAAATACCAACTTAAATATCTGTTTCATAGACATACTGTAAAAGATTGCTTCTTCTTTTTAAGTGGAGATGAAAGTACAGAAATATAGTAATTGTCAGAAAACCTGAGCTGCCAACCTAGTTCTACAAATAGAACCCCAGTGCTGTGAATTTCAAGATTTAGGTTTTAATCCTTCCTGATGTATAGGCAAATCTTTCCTGTTTTCTGCTGCATCTAATCAATCCCTGTTCTGGTCTTCAGGGAAGAAGCTAAGGGACCTGATCATGGCCCTTTTCACATCAACAGTCTTCAACTTTTGAAGACTAATTGTGAAGGTTATAAAAAGTGGTTACAGAAGCCTCAGTTTATTTGTTTAGTTTTCTGCCAAATTCCAGTTCTTTGAGATTCATAATAGCAGGAAAGTAAATGTTGGTTTCATAAGCTTTGTCTTCTGATGGTTGTGTATAGATTTCATTTTTGTCCTTCCTTTTTCTTAATCAAAATAAGCCTTTAAAGTGAACCACACAAAGATTCTTTTTGTAATATGCCTAGTGGGCCAAATCTAGCAGGAAAAGATGAACAGGATAGATCAACCTTTTTTCCTTGTTCTGTCAGGTGCCAGGTACTGGAAAGAAAAAGCTCAGCTGCTGCATCAGAATTGGAGGAGAACCAGCAGCTAATATACAGCATCAGGAAGTTGGAACTTCAGGTAGAGAGCATGCAGGCAGAAGTCAAGCTGGAACAAGCCAAGACACATGAAGAAAAGTGAGTATGACTTAGTTTTGTATTTTGGGGAAGTATTGTCAGTGAGGAAGGAAGTCCAAGAGAACCTGGCCAAAGGTGTATTGAACCTGAAATACGGGTTTGTGTTCTGCATCCTTTGAAACCATCTTATGTTTATAGAGTCTGAACTAGAATGATGCATTCACCTCAGCATCTCTGTTACTTTGAATCTGGAATCTGCATTTTACATTAGGCCCAAATTGTTTCCTTTCATCTAATGAACCCCTCACTTAAGAAAACTGGAACTGTGCGCTCTGCCTTGTATCTTCCTTTTGTCATCAAGTCAAAGACAGAATAGGGTTAGGAATAATATTCAAGCAGAGGAAGCAGCAAAGTGACACCATCTGCCCCACTGACTAGCAGGGGTAAATGCATCCACAGCTTGGGGGGTAGTGTCTAGTCAGGGGGTGGCAATGATGAGAAAGGGATGTTAATTAGGAAGTTTACAGTCTCTACAATATATTTACAACTAAGAGAGGTAAGTATACAGTGAAGCTGAGATAAAGACTCACTGTTTGTTCTGGCTCCCTTCTTCCTTTCATGTGCAATCCATGTAAGGAGTCCAAGCTATAAAGAGAGGCTGAACTGCCTGGAGACAGTTTTCTCTCTGTTGGAGAGGCTGCATATTATCTTTGGAGTCTCTGTCTGGTTCTTCTGATTAATTCTCCTTCACTTGAAGTCTCTGAGTGAAGATGTGGATATCTTCATAAGATTTTTAACAGAGTTTGTGAGCTTGATGTAAAATTATTGAGTGATGGATTCTTCAATCTGAAATGCATCAACAAGGGTTTTTATATATATAATAAGGATCAATAAGGACATTTGTTTGGACTCAGTCCATGGGTAGAGCAGCACACAACTCATTGGAAGAGAGATGTGGAGACATGGAACGTGATTTTTTTCTCATCAGAAATGCAGATTTATTTTGAAGGAGCTAGTGATGGGCTATGTGGGATTTTTTTAAAACAGATTATTTAGATTTCAAAGAATTTTTAAGTGATCCAAACTTTCACCTCTTTTTTTTTTTTTTTTTATCATAAACAGGGCAAGATATAATAGCTTGCAGGATGCATACAGCAAACTCCTTCCTGAAGTAAATGAGGCAAGGAAAACAATCGATGAAATGAAACTCAAAGAGGTAAACTCATCACAAGAAGAAATAATTATTACTTAGAGGGGGAGCAGAAAGGGATGGGAGAATGTGTTTAGGAACAAATTTAGGCAGGAAACACACATACATCATGTGCTGTCAAATACAGAAAACTTGATCTACATGAGTACTTCTGTATTCTGCAGTGCTCTGTGGAGTCCAGTCCTTAGAGATCAGTAACACGCAGAGGTATTTAGGTGTTCCTGCAGTGTATTTTGTAAATCTGGGAAGGGAAGCCTCTAAATATTTTTGTAATCTTAAATATAATGTGTGTCACAGTGAGGTCTTGCTCATAACTGAGGCTCCATGGAACTGCCAGATTCTCCGGTGTAACTGTGGAAACTGGGAGAACAGCCTGTGCAGTGTCCATTAGGGAGTTCTCTTTTGACTTGATACAGTGTAGCTTGAAAGCTCAAAGTAATCTTGAAGTTAAAATTTCAGTCCCCAGTACTGTCTTAGTCCAAGTTGCTTTGATGACCAGAAGTGGAAGCTTTTCCAAGGGCAGGAGGAGCAAGAAGTAAACTTTCACTTCAAGCAGCTTCACATTCTGAGTTCATCTTATAATCATGGTTCTTCCTTGCAGCTCAACAGAGTGGATAAAGTCGTGGTGGAACAACTGAACGCAAAGGTGGAGCTGGCAGAACAAGCCCTTGCAGCAAAGCAGCTCCAGATAGATGAAATGAAGCAGATCATTGCTAAGCAAGAGGAAGACCTCGAAACCATGGCTGTGCTCCGTGCTCAGGTATGGGCTCTTCTCCAGAAATTTGCTACTTCCCACACCCACTGTTCAGAAACCAGGAGGAGCAATTTAATGGCTTGTTCTGGAATACTGAATGATCTGCTTCCTCAATTCCAAAGCCCAGTTCCCTTACTCAGCCTGCCTTACAGATGCCTGCATAGCCTTTACCACCATATCCTATGGTTCTGTAGGAGGAATTGTGTGTGCTGGAGCCTGGAAAAACAAACAAAAGCTGGGAATAGATGTGTTCATGTATGTAAAACCACTGGCCTAAGAATCACTGCATGTTTCAGGGATGATTTTACTCAAAGCAGTGTATGTGTAAACAGTGACTTAAAAGGGTCTGCCTCACACTTAAGGCACAGAAGTGGCATCTTGGCTCAGTTCAACTGTCTGCCACAGATGGGTCTGTGTCATTGGTCAGGTCACCTCCTTATTGCTTGTTTATACCTTATCTCTGCCTCTGTACAGCACTGTCCCGGGTAAGATACTTGAAGCATCTTCTAGAGAATCCAGAAACTCCTGAGTCTTCTTCACCTTGTACGTAGTGCAGGTCTTCACTTTGCAGTGTGTAGGTGCTGTGGGAGTGTTTTAAGTAGATGCAGACTATGATACAGATTTGCTATTTTGACATATAAGTTACAAATTCTCAGCATTATTTCATTTCTCTGATCAGATGGAGGTTTACTGTTCTGATTTCCATGCTGAGAGGGCAGCAAGAGAGAAGATCCATGAGGAGAAGGAGCAGCTGGCTGTCCAGCTGGCATACCTGCTAAAAGAGCAGCAAAACCTTGAAGAACTTAGCCGGTGAGAACAAACTTTGGCTGAGCTGCCTTTGAACTGTTTTTTTACCCTGTGTGCTGGAGTTGACCAACACTGTCTCGCTAGCATCTCAGTAGAAAGGCAAAAAACTTTGCAGACATTTATTTCTTGTGTAATATTAATTTTAAAAGAGGGAGGAAAAAATGAGTTGGCTGACTTCTCATTTTAATTTTGCCATTGAACTCCTGTAAGGCATGTTAGTTCTTATTTGGGTGCCTTAAGAAGATTTCACTTTGGATGATTCATACTTGATAAATTCTCCCTGCTGACTCTGAGGCTGTTCTAGCCTCAGTTTTAGTGGTGAATCTACAGCTGAGCTGCGTGCCAGGAATATCTGCTGCTTCTCCACGTGGTAGTGCTGAGTACTCATAGTTTCAAGTACTCTCATATCCTGAAATTGCACCATTTTAGCACTCTGAGCTGTAAAAGAGTCCTCCAATCACCTTGTGCAAGCCATGGGCACTCTTCTTATACCCAGAATTTGAGGAATCAAGTTGCATTTCTCGTCAGCTGTGCACCGAACCCTTTCTGGGGTATAACTTGCTTTTCTAATTCAATCAAATCTGCTATTTGCCCTGAATACCTGAGAATCCTTGTAGTTTTCCAGAGGAGTGTGCCCCAGATCCCCAGGTGTGTAGCTGCTTAAATCCTGCTGGTGTCGGCATCTGACAGTGGCTTCCGCAGGAGGCCGGCACCATTTCCCCGA